TATAAATTAACTATTAATATTAATTAGAGAATGAACTGCAAAGCATATGATGTCGATGAAAATTCATTACGTGCTCACATATGCATACAGCCTGGACAAATTAAGAGCGATTCACGAACAAGAATTTATATGAAATATTTCAGCAGTTGAATTTAGTTGTCACAAAGTAACAGCTTAATTTATTTTATGGCTACTGCATCAGTGAGAATTGTAATAATATTACCTAATAAAAATAATGATGTATCATATTGATGGAATCATTTTATTATCCCTGAAACAGTTGTTATAGCTCCAATAGCTCCGGTTAGTGGTCATGGGCTGTAATCAACAAGATGAAATGGGTGATTTGAATGTGTAGATGCATCAACTAGACCTTTTCAGAGCAGCACTCTGATCTCTTTTGCTTACAAAAACTAATGCTTTGAGTTTTTAAATAAATATTGGTCTATTGAAGTCTTTCATATTTAATCGAACTCATTTTTCGGAGTACACAACATGGAGTGCAGCGCTTTGAAAGCGCTTACTTATTCTGGATTTTTAATATTTTAGGGCCGTGGCGAGGCCTGGCTAGGCTAGGCTAGGCTAGGCTAGGCTAGCGACTGCCGCTGAGCTTTGTGCAATTGCTTTTCCCGGATATTGTTGTTAGTTTTTACTTTGGAGTTTGCATTTGGCGTTTTTGTTTGCATTTTGTGGTTCTTTTGTTTTGCTGCACGGCCTGCATTCAGATTGCTTTCGTTGTTATTATCCGTGTTGCTGTTGTTATTGTTGATGATGCTTGGCTGCTGCTGCTGCTGCTGTTGCTGCTGCTCCCGTTGCTATTGCTGTTGCTGCCGTGTCCTATTTGCATCCTGTCGGCTGTGGCACCTCGCACACATTTATGTCTATTGGCGCGCGTCCATTTCCATTTCATTTCCGTTATTGCAAAACTTTTCGTATTAAATATATTTTTCTCTGTTTTGTTTCGCATGCCGCGCGCTGCGATTGTTTCATTTCGATTGTTGTTGCTGTCGCTATTGTTGTTGTTGCTGTTGTWGTTGGTTTTTGCACTTTTGCAAAGTTGTTTGTTGCTATTATTTCTGGTACTTTATGCGCCCGTTGCCATTATTGCAGTTGTTTCCTTTATTGCTCTRGCAAGCATTTGCATTTGCATATAAATATATTAAATATATATATAGAGAAATTTATATGTACCTGTTTTATGCAACTTCTCTGACATACTTAGGAGTAGTTAAAGAGCTGAACATTTCAGCCGAATTGACATGCAATTTGTTTTAATTGCCACAAGCCCAGCGCCCAGCCCCCATCGCCATTCACTGAGGCAGCCTGATTAGCCAGTTAGCAATTGTTGTTCTTGCTGCTGTAATTAGCATGTTGCACTGCCATAAATAAAATTAACCGCAATGTTACAAACAACATGGTCAAGCTACAGTAAAGCCTCGTTAGCAGCGGGAAAAGTTATATGGAAATAATTCAAATATAATACAAAAATTTAGCTTGCATTTTGCTTGAAATATTTATTTTCTTTGGTTTTCCTAAACATAGTTTTCCATCGATTAAATCTTACTAGCGACAGCAGATTTAATTTTGTCAGAGATATTCGAAATATTGATAGAAGGAAGGCATGAACTCGTGTAGCTATATCCATTATATAATTGCCTGGATAGCTTATTTGCTGCGAAGCTTAACAAAAAGTTTGAATATTTTTTTGAACGGTTTTTCGTGCGCAAATTGAACAAATGTTTTCGCATATTTTATGGTCCGGCGCACTGTGCAAACTGCACGATTCGCAGCCGACCGCAGAATTTTGCGCATTTAAATGAATGATACGAAATGTCAGCGAAATGCTCAACCGCAAATCGCAAAAAAAAATTGTTGTGTTGTTTTTTGATATTTGTTTCAGTCTTCAATTATATATATATAATTTTTTGTGGGTCCTTTAGAGAGGATTATGGTTGGGGCAGAAATGGTATGGTGGGTCGACCTAGGAAAGCACTGCATCCTTGAACCAGAGGGACATGCGATCATCGCGAAAGCGCTTGAGTGGCTCATTCAGAGTGTACATGCGCACCAGAGAGTGAAAGCGATTGTGCTTGAACTCATTGCCGGCTCTGAGGCGATCGCTGAGCAGCGCCGCCTTTTCGCCCAGCTCCTTTGAAGTTGTCATCGACATCTGCAGCTCTTTCTTCACGTAGTCGGCCACCTGTTTTATCGAAGCTTTGCTTCCGTCGAAGTGTATTGGATTGTCGGTCTCATCTTTCCCCTTGGACTTTACGGAAATATTATCCCCGTCGCGATCGATGGCCTTCGACTTGCCCGAAACACGGGAAACATTATCCGCTTCGTGATCTTTAGACTTGGACTTGACCGAAGCACGCGATATGTTATCCTCATTGTTCACCTTTGCCTTGGATATGGCAGAAATACGAGATATATTATCTTCATTGTGCTCCTTAGCCTTGGATCTGGCAGAAGCACGCGATATATTATCTGCATTGGGATCATTTACTTTGGATCTAACCGAA